GCTGAGGTACCCGTGAGGTGGAGGCTGGAGGATCTGTCTCCATTTTCTCCACCTCTTTAACTTGGTCTCTCCTTAGACCTGATACCGGTGTTGTCCCGTATCTATAATAGAGGATATGCCTCTCTTTCTCTATTGCCTCCTTGGATTTGAGGTCAATTCGTATTGTGAGGACCTGACCATGACACTCCTCCCTCGAGTTGATGACTCGCCAACTTGATGTCCTAACATTGAAGCTCTGACCCTGGATAAGGCTCAGCAGGTAGGTGGTGTCTTTCCCCTTGCTCCTCGGCAAAAAGACCGTGATGGTCGCCCATTTAGGGATGTTTTCTCCCTTCACTGCAACCAGTTCCGACCCCTGCCAATTTTTAAGCTTAGGTGCGATTTCCACCAACCAATTCGCCGATTCTTGAGATACACAATCTATGAGGATCATGTCCACCCGAAAGTGTATCCCCGCAAAACGCAACTAACCCACATTTTGTAGATTGTTGTGTTGCGCTTCGTCCAGTATAGCCTCTTCTAGAGAGGTTTGCTGGTCGGTGGTCAGAGCAACCTCTGGGATTCAGGGACTATAAATGGCATTGATGAGTCTTGCCTGGCCATCTCATCTGCTTTTTCGTTACCCTTGTGACCCTCGTGCTCTGGTACTCAAATTAACTTAACGTTGCTACGCTCACTCAAAGTATTTAGAGCACACACACTCCTTTCATTAGCCTAACATCCTCTTATGTTCGGCATGAAGTCAGAATCATACTACTTTCTATTGTTTAAAAAAAATCATATAAAAAAATCATTTCTTTAAAACTATGATTAAACAAATATTTTTTTGGCGTCAAGTAGAGAAATTTTTAGATTACTAATTGCTGGTGGGCGATAAATAAATAAAACACTTAATCACATTTTAACATGTATAATACATTATACATTTACATGTTGTACACAGGTCCCTGGTTTAGTGTTTTATAGCTTCAGAAAGAAAATATATAATTTTTATTGAATCTTTTATAAAAGTTAGTTATTAAACATTTCGACGGTATTTTGTATATTCCCATGTTTGTGAATAACTTTCTGTTTGGTGATAATATCACAAAATCAACAGGTTTTTGATTTAAAGGTCGAGCCATGGCTTAAATGTTAATTCTTTTTGTAATACAAACCTGCTGTGAATTTTGAACGGTTTCGTTTAACATAATGTCTATGCACGGTGTCATTGATTTCTTAATGTGCTAGAGAAAGATGGAAAGAGAATGTTTGCCTTGTACGACAAGAATATAAAAAGCAAAATTGTTCGCTTTACTACGTGTTCTACATTATTTTATGAAACGTAGGTAACCATTAAAAATACCAGAAGTCTTTGTTTTAAAATACAGCTCCGTTCTTCTAGCAACGAAAGGATATAAAATATGGTTGGGGTCGCACCACTCTGGCACTTTGTGCCATTGTATCGGTTTTTTAATCGCGGTGCGATCCCTTTAGACACACATTTATTAATCCTAATATTATTCTGTAAAACTTAATGGGGTCTAATAAAGAAATTTGAATTTGAATTTGAATTTGAATTTGAATTTGAATATAAAATAAAACCTATGAGGCTTGTTTCTTCTTCATTATCTTTATTTAGATGATTTTTAGTATGTCACATTATTTTCCCTGTAGTCCGAAAGAAATTGCCTTTTAGCAAAAATTAAAAGGAATATATATTTACCGGTCAGAATCTAAAAATAGCGCTGTTAATTGAAAAAATATATAGTATTCTGCCTAGTAAGATAGCTAAACGCTAATTAATTTTATTTTCTCGACACACATGTATTTGTTAACATTAAAAAAATACTCCGATATACATGATAACAAAAATATTTATGCATATAAAAAATAATTTTGGATAACAGAACTCTCACAGTCCATATGTCTTCTACAGTTCAGGAGATGGCTCATATTTTAAACCTTGTATAAAAATATTAAATTTTACATGAATAATATGAAAATTTTCCATTAAACAAATTGCTGTCTGTGCATAATATTAATACGCAAAGAGAACGTTAAAAAATAAATAAGTTGATATTGCTAAACCCTTGCAAGTTAAATTATAGTTTTCTTCTTAATAAACTCAGCAAAGTTACACGGGGGCGCATCTTTTCTGGAAAAACAATGATGTAAAACTTGTATTGGATGAAAAATCTTTGAGCTCGTTTATTACTTTCAATCTCCAACACTTCTGTCGAATGAAAATGAATGTTCCATCCATATTTAAAGTAAAGTCGTTGGAAAATTTGCTTTTCCAAAGATGGAAAAATGATTCGGGTGAAATCCTCCGTCACGAGATGATAAACAAGAATGCTGGAAAAAAGTAAAGTGGGCCATGTTTGATTTGATGTACAGAGAAAATGAATCTATACGTATGCGATTTAAGTATATTTATTTATCTGATGTCGAATACACTTTTTTTTTGGCGGGTCTTCTTTTCAATCGCCAGCAAAGATCAAAATATAAAAATGTATAAGCTCGCATAAGACGTCAAAGGCTTCAAGTTTTTAAGGGTTAAAGTCAATAATAGGGTTTATATATTGCAAAAACAAATAATAAATGTCAAATAAATATCGGAGATAGGAGATGTTTTTACTAACCCAAGAATATATTGAAGAATTGTTCGATATTTTCGATAAACGAATTTTAGTTAGAGTGTAACATCAGTTAAATCGCCTAACATTAAGACTTTGAGCAGTATTATTTTTTACAACTGTTTAGATTTAGTAAAAAAATAACTGATTTTAATGGCAATCATTGATACAGAGCACGTTCTTTGTTTCAGTTTATAAATAGATTCATGAAACCCTTCCTTGCTTAAAACCCAAAAAGTTACTTGTTTGCTGTATGTTCAGTTTTTAAATATACAGGGTTGTTCACCACATACGACACGGAGTGTTGTGGCTAAACGATTAGATTTTTACAAATTGTAAGTTTTGGGTTCGATGAAGAACTATTAGAGGTACAATTTAAAAATATTTTAACAAGATACAGGGTGTCCCAAGTAAGTAAAAAATATTATAGTTGTATTTTTTTAAATGAAACACCCTTTATATTATTCCATTTTTAGATTCTAAGATTGAAATAAAGGTAAATTTGATTAAGGTTTATCACACTTAAACCTTACCGTTTTTGAAATATTTTCAATTTTATGAAATTGCAGTAAAAATTTTAACGCTTCATTTCTCCAAAGTTACCAAAGTTTTTTATACTAAATATTTACTGAAGATTATTTGTTGATCAGATATTGTGTTGCAATAAAAAAAAATAACTACCTTATACAGAGTGTCAAAAATTTTATATTAAATAATTACTAGCTTTAAACGGCAATAACTTGTTTAATTTAAATGGAATACCCTGTATATTTTACGTGAATCAGATGCTCAATTTAATTGTCTGTCAAATTGTATTATACCATTTTTTATCTGTCTCTTCAGGTTTTCGTAAAAAATGCATTTTCTTATAATTTAGACCTCATTTATCACTATACCCAATGGAATATTGACATTTTAGATTATTTTTAAAGATTTAACAAATTTTCAAAGAGTACATTACTAATATTGTCGATATGGTTCGCTTATTTTATTAAAAAAAAACTGTTTAAATATTTTTTGTTAAAGATGACCAATTAATATGATCCCTGTATTCAAACTACATTAATTGACTGTTTCCTTTAATTAATGATAATTGCTACAAATACTAAAAAACTGAATTTTGTATGTGTTAGAAAGTGTGGTAAAAAGTAACACCTTATAAATTTTATTTCTTTTTTTAAAGAATGCTTATTTTTATATCAACAGAGACGTTCATTTTCATAACTTATTATTATATTAATTTCTGAGCCAAATCCACATTTATTTAGAATAATTAATTAATTAAAACAATTAAGTATGTAACTAACTAATTTTTGGTCGGAAATAATGGTGGTATATTTTAACTGGTATACTCTTTTACAAAGATATAAATAGTTTTTTGTATACAAATTGGCTTGCAATATTATTAATTTACCACCTGTACATTTTGTACATATATGTTGCTTTAAAAAAAATCTGAAATGTCAATTTTCCACGGGTATAGTGATAAATGAGGTCTAAATTATAAGTAAATGCATTTTCTACGAAAACTTGAAGATATAGGTAAAAAATGATTTAACACAATTTGATAGACATTTAAATTGTGCATCTGGTTCACGTAAAATATACAGGGTGTTCCATTTAAATTAAACAAGTTATTGCCGTTTAAAGCTAGTAATTATGTAATATAAATTTTTGGACACTCTGTATAAAGTAGTAAAATTTTTATTATTGCAACACAATATCAGTTCAATAAATAATCTTCAGTAAATATTTAGTATCAAAAATTTTGATACCCTTGGAGAAAAAAAGCCTTAAAATTTTTACTACAATTTCATAAAATTGAAAATATTTCAAAAACGGTAAGGTTTAAGTGTGATAAACCTTAATCAAATTTACCTTTATTTCAATCGTAGAATCTAAAAATAGAATAATATACAGGGTTTTCCATTTAAAAAAATACAACTATAATATTTTTTACTTATTTGGGAAACTCTGTATCTTGTATAAAAAAATTTAAATTGTACCTTTAATAGTCCTTCATCGAACCCAAAACTTACAATTTGTAAAAATCTAATCGTTTAGCCACAACATTCCGTGTCGTATGTGGTGAACAACCCTGTATTTATGAGAATGTATGCCTGCATGAGGTGTGGGAGCAGATAATTTTGGCAACTCAAAAATATTTTGTATTGTTGTTTTCCATAAACGGATTTTAGGAAGAATGTTGCATTTTGACCTTTTCGAATATGAGTTTACAAACTGGCTTAATAACTCTGAAATGAATTATTCTTTTCTTTTCTAACCGAATATCGTAATATGTTTGCTTCATTTTTTATTTACAAGAAAAATATTGAAATTTTTGATGACAATAACTGATCCAGAACACGTTTTATGTTTCAGTTTCTAAATAAGGACTATGGTGATCTCGCTGTCTGTTTTTTCGCAAGCAGGACCTCGGCACCGACCAACAAATCGTGTCAATCTTTAACTGTAAACGGTGAGATCAGTTTTAATTCTAGAAGTTTGTGTACGACAGAATCAGCATGCGACGTTCAATATACTCTCACGTCGAACAACAGCCAGGTCAAATGCGCAGGTAAATTATTACAATGCAAATATCAGAAAATGACTACCGCAAAGGACAAGTAATGCGTTTTCAATCAAAGTCTATGATTATAGACCATTCTACGAAAATCGGACATATTATGGACAATAAAAAATAAGCTAAAATGTTATCTTCTATTTCCATTTTACTCGAATGATCGATTTACTGTATGAATTCTCGTAGAATGGCTGGTATATTTATTAAAACCATAAAATTTAGCTTCTTGTAGCATATTTCCTAACATTTACCTAACATGTGTACAAAGAGTGACTTTCCTCAATTTTAGTTTTTGTTTAAATTAAGAGATTTCGCTTAAAACTCATCTTATAAGGAAGAACAACACTGAAGTATGTTTTTCTATGTGATTTTCTAATCTCATACTTACATTCTCAAATAGCAGCAATATTCACTAAAGTACAAATTAGCTTCAGGGAAATTCCATCTTCAAGCAACAAGAAGTTAAGAGCTAAAAGATTTAATTAACTGCAAATTATTTTTGCTAAATTGAAAAGAGGAAAGGCAATCTTTTTTTAAAATCTTTTTACCTCAATAAAAGTAATTACTTCCGTATGAAGAACCCACAAAAGAATGTAATTCTTAGATAATATAAATTATTTTTGTGGAAATATTTGGTAATGTCGTTGTCTACCTGAAAAAAAAGTCTAATGGAAAAATGTTAAGAATTCAAATATAAACAGCAAATCTAATTTTTTATATAATAATTACAATTCATGTTAGGATATGAGTTGTCCTTTGTGGTTTCTTATTACATGAATAATCTATTTTATTAATTTTAATTACAACCACTTCCTAAACAGAATATTAATGTTAAAAGTCTGCAATTCTGAGATTTAAAGAAACTATACCTTAAAATCGAAAAAATCCCATCGCAGCAGCTTTTGAAATGACAATATCTGACGAAAAGGAATGTAATTTCTCAAAAATTGACATAAAGATTAATATTTAAATAGAGTATACCTACTTAAAAATTCAGAAACATACTTATTTTCAAAATTAAAAATAGTGAATAGATTTGCGTGCGAATGGTTTATAAACAATTTAGTTTTTTCCATTTGATTATTGAAAAGATTACTATTTGTTTTTAACTATATATGCATTATTAAATAAGAAACAATTTATAAGTATGAATCAAACGAATTAAATTAAATTTCTACTAATTTTTTTTCAAAAGATAAAAAATCGAAAGCTTATGGGATGCAACTTTGTTTCATTTTGTATAATAAATCCTTTGTCAGGGCAGACTATATATTTTACAGGCTAGACAATAGGTACATAAACGTCCAATATTCACCTGAAAAGGGTTCAACAAGAAAAAGATGCACCTGTAGGGGTTAGGCCCTACGGAATGGATTCAAAAGAATTTTAAGCAGATCATCTACCTGTACCATTTTTTCTTTTCTTTTCAGAGAGCGACTGTAGGTATCCCGATCAAGTGCTGGTCATCATAACCTATAGTTACACATCCGGCTCATCTGGCTTGGGATCTGGTTTTTTCTTGTCTGTCTCGTTAATTTTAGTAGCTTGGCTTACAAACTTGTTTTAATTATCCAAAAAGAAACATACAAAAAATACTTTTAGTAAAAATCGTATTGAAATAGCGGCCATAATTATTTAGTAACTTTTATAGCTAATCTCATTAATTATTTAGAGAACAATTTTAGTTTATTATTATCTGTACAGTTTATTACAAACATTTTACCTTATTATCTTAGCGTATATTTTATTATAATCGTATTGTTAATCAAATTTAGAATATTTTGTAATTAAGTAGCAAATCTAAGTAAAGTACATTTGTGATTTTAATATTGTATTTTATTTCAGTTTTTTAATACTGCAAATTTCAGGAAAAACTGGTGTAGAAATTTAAATAGTTTATATATAGTTTTGACTCAATCTGTAGAAATTAGATATTCCAGTATGCTAATCAGCTCATTAACTAATTAAATTCAAAGGTGCTAAAAGAAATATTCATCCTAGAACTAAAAATAAACTAATAGATAATAGAATTACACTAAACATATTCAAATATATGTCAGAGAAAATAAAAAAATAGTTTTTTTCGAAGATTATTAGTTTTATTAATTAAAATCTGATTTTGACAGTTGTTTAATACGTACTTTATACTCAGCTATCCAAATAAAACCCCATTCTTTAGATAACATCTGTATAATTTCAAACAATGATAAGAAATACCGTATGATCGAAAAAACGGCGTCCAGATGGCTGGAAAATTACGAATGATAACATTTCTCATATAAAATAACAGCGATCTTCATTTCATATAGCCATCGCTGACTCCGTTTTTTTCCGGTACTTAAAAAAGTACTTCATACCTAATTTAGTAGTTTATATGAAGTTGACTATTGAATTAAATCTTGCATTCAGGTTTAATACCAACACAATTTGTGATTTCAAATGTATCTGATTTTTTTAAAAATTTTATGTGTATCCTAAACAGCAAATTAAATAATGGCAATGTATTTTGGATCAATTAGCAAGTTACTTTGCTAACAACCTGTATAATTCACCAAAAATTTTTGAAACAAGATAAAAGTCCATATATTTTTGGGATTACCGTCTTGATGTTAATCTTGGGCATTAATATATAGAGTAAATATGTAATGTGTTGGAGATATCCATCGCTAGATTGATTTATTTTCCTTATATGATATTTTTAGAACGAAAAATTATAGTGCATTTTAAGTTTATAACTTTGGTGTTTCAGAAAATTAAATATCTTAAGTGTAACACACTACTAAAAATCTTTATACATAAATATCATCAACCTGATAGATAAATATAATTATTAAGAAAACGTGCGCCTTGTCTGATCAAGAGTTATTACATCTGTTGTTAAAGTTTATAATATTTAATTTCCATCAATTTGGACCTTTAACGATATTGAAAACCGAGCGCAATTTTATTGAATAAAAATCAGACAATATTTTAGTAAATTGAGAAATAAAACCCGTTATATCTCAATTTTCATTTATTAAAATTTCCAATTATTGTATAAAAAAACAAAAAAATAAATAAATAATGTCTAAATATGGCTTTGGTTAAAAATTAAAAATTATAACTTCAATTTTTTTACATGTGTTTTTTATTTTAAATATCTTTTAAATCTTGCAACTAAAGAACTAAAGCGACTATTAATAAACATGAAGACATAACTGAAAAATAAAGTTAAAAAATATGAAGAAATAAAAAAAGTAAATGTTGACTAATATGTTAAGAAATCAAAGTAAAAAAATACAAATAGATCACAAACACAGGTAAATATACAATTGTGCCATTAATTATCTTCATTGCCCTCTGAAACTATAAAAAATCATTATATAAGTTTATATTAAAATAAAATAAAACTTTTTAATCATTCATAGGTATTAAACATATAAATAATCAAAACCCTAAGAGTTAAACCAGAATAATATAAATATACCGAATACATAACATACATAAATGCAAATAAGTAAGCAATATAAAACATATATATGAATACAATAGCAAGCAACATGCGTTTTCGTACCTAAATCCAAATTACGAAAACAGCGTCTTGGCAATCTGTAACTAAATTAGCTTAAACATAACGAAGAAACGAGATGTGTGTGGAATTGGTGTTAACTCCGGTAACCTAGCTTTATGATGTCCAAGTCACTCATACAGCTAGATAACCAAAGAAAATGTCAATTCCATTGGCTAAAACGGCACAAAAAAACAAAAATTACGCATCTAATCGTTTGAAGACATAATTACCAGAAAGAATTTGAAAAAAATCTATCCAAAAGACCGTTGCAGCCACGTGATCCGCACACTTTATGTACAAAGCCGCACACAAAAAGAAGACAATTTGATAAAAGCAAGGACAAAATAGCTTGTAACGCACCATCTCAAGAACTGACCAACCGTCGCAGACACGACTGAGCAAGAGTGGGCAGTAGCATTTGGCTTTCCCCATCGATATTGGCCAGTTAAGAAAAACCAGTTTTAAAAGCCAAGCCTCGCCAGACTCTCTCACAGCGCCCTGTATGTCACTATGTTGCCAAACTTTCTACTCTCAAGGCAATATTTGGAACTCTTAAAACATCAACCTCGAACCAGCGCTGGTTTTGCCGCGACTTGGGTTATTCTACGAAAACAAAATCACCTTTGCTACAATTTTATATGATAATCAAGTTATTTATCCCAGCGAAAATAAACAATCATTTAAATCCTTTCGAAGAAAGACACAAGACCATGATACAAAATAAATATTCCATAGTCATAGAATAACAAAACAAATCAAATATATACCAATTTACAATATATAATCAAAGAGTACGATATGAACTCATGAATCTATTCCAACGAAAAAGGCCAAAGAACTGAATATCTAATCATACCCAATAGAAATACATTTCTTCAATATGGACCTTAATAGTGAACTTTACAGCAGTTTTTCAATATAACCAATGAAAGATTCTGGAAATATAAAAAGGACTGTTCTCCAACATGAAGATTCAAAATAAGCATGGAAACTTATCGCAGTAATAGGTGTATATTTGGTGGGTTAAAGAACATCCAATATTGTATAGATCCGTCATGCTAACAGCGGCGATGATAGATAAAATCAAAACCATCCTCTTACAAAACTTTAGATAGGTAATTGCCAACTAAAGGAATTTTGCGGTACCCAGTAAGGAAGCAACAATTCATATTCATTTCGAAAATTACGTTGGTTGATGGCTTAAGCGATGGAAGCTTGATAAAGTTAAGCCCAGGATAGGATGTACAAAGAGTCCAATAAGTCCAAGTGATTTTCGACCGAATTTTTGATTTTCCTCGATTTAAGTAATAATAATGATTTAAATAATATAAGGAAAAGGAATCTAACCTCTGTAAAACCATCTCAGTTAGTGGATTTTGTGAAAGCCCTGATTTTGTATCATATATATCATCAGTTATAACTCAAGAAAAGGTAAGACAATAGACTTCTACAATGCCCAAGTAGCCTTTGTATCGTTATACTTGATAAGAAGATGAGTTATATGACTGCTTGACTTTTTAATACTATTACTGGATGATTCTTACTATTACTGGATGCCTATGGGGATCTGGTTGATACGAGACATATAAAGGCGGGTTCTCATTAGTCGATTTTATTGATCAATATCATTGAATCTATGTCATTGAAATAAAACAGATTAATGTGAACATTATTTCAACAATATCGTTCAATGTTTTCGCATTTCTAGAAAACTGGAAGCCATTTCTACTTTTGGTGGACCAATCGTATTGATTCAATGAAATTGAATTGTGCTTGCCCGTGAGAACAAGCTGAAACAAGCGTTCAGTCGCATCGAAGTGTTTTTCGGTGTGTGTTTCTGTTGAAATATGTAAACCAAAATGTCGTTTAAATGAAGGCATTTCCATGTTGCAAAAGTTCTGGAGTTATATCAGGAGTTATATCAGGCAGAGGAATGTTTATGGAACTTCAAATGTGAAAATTATAAAAATATAACGCTACGGGAAAAAAGTTATGAAAATATTCGTGATGGAATGAACATAGAATCTTTAACTTTAACCGATGTTAAATGTTAAAAACTTATTAAATAAGTTTTTTTTGATTAATAAACTTACCTTAATAAAATTTTCTAAACAACTCTATATGGCTTTACAAACTTCTGGTAAGAACTATGAAATACTGTTTTTAGCTAGCCTATACAGTGCACTTAAAGATGGAAAAGAATCTCCCGTGGCTAAATACCTTAAAACTACTTGTAATTTTAGTCTTTCTGGAAGAGCGTCCCTCAATAAAGTATTTTCCTTCTGTATGAGGGGTGAGATTTTCTTTGGAATGTCTTCAAAATGGTCTTCACTCATAAATAAATAAAAAATATAAATATATTTTTCAACCTTCTTTAAAAAAAAATATTACAAATGCAAGAACTGTCCTAAAATCAAATCTATATTAGGTATTTGCCTACTTTAGATGGTCTATACCTACTTTGCTATAAATATTGTAATCTTTAATCATACTACGGTAAAGTACGAGAAAAAAATCATTGAGTGGTTTGGATAAAAATTTACTGTAGAAAATGCCATATGAAATATAAAACCGCAAATCTGCAAAACCGTTATAAATAAATACTCCAAATACAATCTATTAAAAATCTATTAAAAAAATAATATACAGGGTGTTCCATTAAAAAAAACCAGAAAAATTATTTTATATTTTAGAAAGTTTGGCGTAGAAAATTTTAAACATCCTGTATGATTTACGATTACCATATTTATAGCAAAGTAAGTACAGACCATCTAAAGTAAATACCTATTATAGTTTTGATTTCAGGACAGTTCTTGTATTTTTAATAATTTTTTTTAGGACAGGCTGAAAAATATATGTATATAATTATTTTGTAATATTTAATAATAATATTATTTTTATAATATTTTATTAATATCTCTGAAACTATCGAAATATATTTATTCATTTCTTAGGATTATGTAAAGTCATCTGAAAGAAAGCCAAAAACGCAATAATATAGAGGGTGTCCCATTTAAAAAATATTATCACGATCCACTCACACTTTTTTGAAGCACCCTATAGAAGTTAAAATATTTTCCTGAAATACATCCTAGTACATACTTTAGAACTGCACTTCAACAAAATTTCCAGGTTTTTTTTAGGAGCTACAGATGCCTGACGCACTATTGCCGGACCCTGTATAATATAACCCACAATTCGTAAAAAAAGAAAAATAACTACCATATTTAACTACTTCCTTTTACAGTGTTTCATAGAATAGAAAAATATTTCATTT